AGCATGTGAAAACAGAAACACTATCATAATGCTGCTGTCACTCACTTGAATCCTCATATCTCCAGTTTTTGGTGTACTGTCTGTTTTTTAACTTGACTCTAAAGTTTACATAGTTTTCGTGTAGAGTAGTTTTCATGACCTGAAGGTCCGCGAAGTCCATTCAGTAACCTGTACAGTTTCCAAACTGCATGGTCATCATCAACCTGAAAGACGCTCTGTTGGATGTGGACAGAGAGACATGAGGCCTGAGGGGTTACTTCCTGTCACACTGACACCACCGGGGTCCGTTCAACAACAAACATGTTCAGTTACATTACAGCATCAGTCGATGCTCGTCTTCCATAACAGGATCAACTGAGGTTCAGGAAGTGTTTGTACTTTACTTGTTTGCATTTATGGATCAGACAGTATCATAGACACTTACATATGATGCAATCCCATACAGTCCCACCAGAGACCACTCTGTTGCTGGCCTGTATTGGATCGCATTGGACTGCAGTGTGTTCCTTTTCAGCCCCTGTAAATAATGTTCATAGAAGAATATTTAAAGTGATATGATTATTATTTTGGAACCAAAATCCAAGATAATAACATTTTTGTTTTTAAATGATTGGTGCCACGATGTGTTACGAATGTGTCTTTGCCCTCTGTGCTCAGAGTCATTGAATCACATGTTTACAGTCTGCACATGCACACTTAACTTCATACAAGCTTTAGATCATAGACCTTTAGTCCGTACAAGGTAAGTAGAGTAAAAGAAAACTGCAAAACATCTGTGTATCCCTGAAAAAAAAGTCATACTTAAGGCTATTGTAGTCTTATGACACATGTGGACGACTAGAATGGAGGATTAAGGATGCATATATTTAAATAGTTTAACATTTGGGAAAATATAAAATTTATATTTGTTTAATGGTTTTCTATGCATCATTGTTTTAAATGTGGTTTACCTTTGTGTCATAATACAACACGACCCTTGAGTGTGATCTCGTCTCAGTGTTACACACGTGTTTTGCATTAGGGTTGATTACTGGAGTGTCTCTATGCTGTATACACCTCAGTGTTCGTTCCTTCTGTTTGAGTCTGTGGCTGAAAGCTTGCATGTAATCAGACTGTGCAGATCCTAGTGTGTGAAATCTTCTCTATTCACTCAGCATGTTTCCTAGAACAAACCGAACTAAGTGAAGAAGGAAATACTTCCTGAAGCCAGTTTAAGACACAGCCTCTTGCAGACGTGTCTGTATTTGTGTCATATGGGAAATATGGTACAAATCTCAACTAAATCAACACTTTTCATCTCCTGTTTTGTAAAAGTATACAGACAACGTTTAACATGGCATCTTAATGTCCAGCTATCCTTTATGACATGAATGCAGCATCATGACATTGAGACGATAGTTAAGCTGAATGTCATCCAAACCTATACAGTATATTAAATGGTGTATTTGTAAATATTGATCTGTAATGTGACAAACCCCGGCAAAAGTCAATGGACCAATAAAAACAGACGACGGTATCCTCTCTGGGGTCGGCCCGACAATGAACCACAGTTGGTTCATTCTTCCATGCACACTGTGAAAATTATATTTATTCAAACGACTATGTTAAAGATTGACATTTTAGCTTAGACATCTGCATCAGACAGTGCAGAAGTCTTTTGCTTTCTTCTATTTTTTTTAAATTAATATTATGTTTTCTCACAATCACATCCGATTTTACTGCCGCTACTTTAATTTCACATACTTGTCTTGTAAAAACAAGTTTCACCGTACTTGACATGAGGCAAAAAAAAAAATCCAACACAAGGGTGACACTGTTTCCCCAGTTGAAATTAAGAAGCACATTCTGGGTGACTACCCTTTCTAATGGTTATAGTTAAAGGACCATTCCAGTGTTTTTGCATATGTAAATCCATGTAACGATAAACTTGCTGTTGTGTTTCACAGTTTTAATATGTTTTTCTAGCCACTGATTCCTACTCATTTCACTATAGATTACAAATCAACTTGAAACTTGGCTTCAAATAGGTAATCTATCTTCTTTATCTTTATCAATAATCAATAATAACATTTCAGAAAACAGTTTCTAATTAATAGACATGGAAAAACACTGGTATGATCCTTTAGGTTGAGATTTGCTTACATGTTTGAAATTTGCAAAAATGGAAGAAAATGTATTTATTTGTTTATTTTTGCATTTTTATATACTTGTTCCCATTCACATATTTGTTTTTCTTTCTATACTGATTTGTTGGTATATTTATGTATGTATTGTTTGATTTAATCCATGTGTTTATCTATCTTGCATCTTACCTGCCTGTTGTTTTAAAGGAGAATTAGAATCACATGACCTTTTTGCATCATTACCCCATTGTTGTAACCTTTCAAAATGACAGAGATGGGTTTTTTTTAGCAACACTGAAATCAGCTGGCCATCAGTGAACCACAGGAACTGCAACTTGTTAAAACATTAATTGTCTGATTAGTTGATTTTTTATGTGACGATATACAGACCAGGGCTCAGTTCATTTCACTTTCAACTCAGTTCTTCCATAATTGCAGAAAAAGATTGTTGTATCTGTACATTTGAAGACCCAAACTGAAATAGTAAATGCATTGCAATTTGTGTTATGAGCTGAGTTGAAAGTGATTGGATGTCACCCTTGTGACATATTATTTAATGTCTGTCTTGCCATTTTTGAAGTAAAAATATATAACAATTATAACAATAACAATATTTATTTATATTTGTATCATTTCTGTTGTATGTTATGGAACAGTAAAATTATGATTGTGAGATAAAGCCTACTGTTGCACTCCTTTATTTTGTGTGTGTGTGTGTGTGTGTGAGAGAGAGAGAGAGAGAGAGAGAAAGAGACATTTTTTCAGTTGCAAACAGACAGGTGGAGTTAATTGAAATAATGAATGATCATATATACATATGCAAATAGTGGTATTGTGGTTGAAGTATTAATATAATAAATATATTCACAAGATAATTTACTACAGAATTAAAATGTTTTAAAGTCAGAACTAACCTTCCTAACACCTCCTCAACTTATCTTTATTGGAAAACTCAAGTACAGGAAGGAAAATAACTACTCCAGCGTCTCGCCCTATCAGGATCGTCCTTGGCTAGTTGCTAGGCAGAAAAAATATCAGGGAACTCTGTGATTGGCGGTTCCTTTAACGAAGCTACTGGATTTCACCAAGGGGAAATTGTGACGATTTTCGTTAGCCAAAAGTTTCCCGAGGAAGCTAAAGGTTGGGATATAGTTGTTAACTTGTTTTTAACAGCACTGAACTGAAATTAAACATGTAAAGTGGTGAAGAATGAAAAGTATTTGGGCTTCGTCTGAAGTTTAGCGCATTCGTGGACTTCTCACATCAAGGCTAACACGTGAGTCAGTTTTAAATTATTAGCTAGCCTAATGTGATGTTGGCTAATTATTTTTGTTTGGTGCTAGCTAACTACTTGTCTGACCTGATATTTGCAGGAAATGGAAACAAAAAAACTCCAAAAGATGGCAGTAATGTAACAATAATAATTCCTGCTTACCCCAAAAATAAATAAATGAAAATAGTTGGGAGCTATGTTTCTGGCCACCCGATGAATGTGAGTCAAAATAAATGGCTCTTTAGCTGCCAAATGCTCCTCTATGTCCACCAGCCAATTGCTAACTTTGTCTCATGTTTGGTGCTGGGCAGGTGTTGCACAGTTGGATTTGAAGCTTTTTTTTTTGTCAAAAACAGCTGCCTGCTGTGTCTGAAAGTTACAGTTATGATGGTGAGAGTGCATCAAAACACCAGGGTTGTGGTTTGTAAAACAGCTGCTTGACATATAAATGTGTGTTTTATTATTTTGGACCATTGGCTATCTGCACAGTTACTTCACCTTCAAATACCCATAGACAGACCTTTGAGGCTGTACCCAGTAACATGACCTGTACTTCAACATCTAAATCTATATTTTACAAAACTGTAAAATTGTGATATGCAATAAATAACAATAAATGCATCATGTGCATCATGAAAAAGCACAATTTTTGTCATGCAATTTATTTGGTGGCTTCTTCCAAACATACATAAAAGAACAAAATTACATTTTTTTTCAATGATTTGTCAATAAATTTGAATTATATTTTTTACATTTTCATTCATGGTAAATATAGTGAAGATGCATTATATGTAAATGTGGCTGGTAAGTTGTTAAAATTATATTATTATATTAGATTCTTCTTGACATAATGCACTTCAGATCTGACTTTATAGTTTATTCTCTACACCTTTGCTGCCATAATCAGGGTGCTTGTGCTATAATCAACCAAAATTGTCAGCATCAGTAATAGCTTTAATAACTAAACAGATACAGAACTTAAAGGGCATAAACACAAAATGCCATTAAGTGATATCACACCATGCAAAGTGAAGTTTTCTTCACTGATAAACTGCATGTTTTGTATGCCAGGCTTACTATGTCAGAGAGTGTGTGACAGTCTTCAGCTATTCCAAACTAGTGTACACTGATCTCTGAATCGAAAGCAAAATAGTCCATACTTCTGCACTCAGCCTATACTCCAAGGCCGACAGTACTTCACAACGATTTCTAAGTGTTGTATGTTGAGTAAGAACGATTCTCGTTATTTGAGTGTAATGTCAAACATGCTACAGAATTGTGGGTTAGCACAACTGCCATCAACTTACTAGACGATTGGGTCAAATGTGACTTTTCCAATTCCCTCTGCAGTTAAAAGTATTTAATAGTCATTTGTGTAGCCTTTTCAACATCACTGCCATGTTTTATATGTTAGTTTGGCAGGGCAGATGGCTCCGAATACTACGATACCCATGACTCTCTGCTGCTGTTGCTATGGAGAAGAAGCCAGAAGAGTGGTGAATCGGAGCGGTACTGAATTAAAACCTCTTCAGTCCAACACTGCACTAAAGGTACTGAATATATCCAAAATGTGAATTCATTTGTGCTGCTGGTTGCATCATCAGTTTTCTTAACAGTGTAATCTTAACCTCAGCTGTGTGATTGGATGTTTTTTTTTCTTTACCAAAATGTACTTTAGCAGTCATAATCCACTTGTCGTCTTATGTTTTTAAGTATGCAATACATGCTGTAGAAGTGCTCCAAGTGTGATCTACTTAATTGACTGAGCCTTTTGGAATCAGCCGTTGTCTTTGCTGCTTTCCCACCCTGGTTTCTTCTTGCCAAATGGATTTTTATGTTCTGGTAGCCACTAAAATGGCCGCAGTCACGTTTCAAGATCTAGAGAAACCTAGTGTCACTATCTACTGTCTGTCTGTGGGTTCTGGCAGTGGCAGACAAAGGAGGAAGTAAAAATGCTGATGGAAAAATCATTTCCAGCATGTTTATCTTTCTCCTCTTGGTGGGGATGATGGCTGGAGGAAGGAACAGGATTCATGGGAAATAGAAGTTAAACAAAAGTGATATATTGATATTTCAGTATTACACACATTGCACGTGTTATTACTTATGCAGGAGACATTGTAGCTCCGGATGTCTTGAATGGAGGGAATCACTGTCCTTTGTAAATCGACTTATCAGCACATTGTAATGTAAGCATGGTATTAATCTGAATGAGCAGCAGGCAGATATACATGCATACAGTATATCAGTGAAGTTTAAACTGTTGTAGTCGGGTCACTTTTGATCATTCCCTTGAGAAAGACAGGCAGGGAAGCTGATCCTTGATCAGCTCCCACAGAAACATCTTCTTTGAGCTCAGCCACAGCCATGAACTGAGAGAGTTTGGCCATGATCCTTCTTCATGGCTGTTGTCAAACAGAGTTAGGCTGATACATGGGGATGAAATCTGATCTGTGTTTATCAGTAAAACCCATATATCAGCCAAACCCTTTTCCACAGCACAGCCTCGCCAAACTCTCTCTAGCTCCGCAGCTCTCAGCTGCTCAGCAGGACGATGATGTAAATAAGAAGCAGACAGATGAGGATGAGGGTGAAGTTGACAAACAGCTCCTGCAGGTTCCTTTTGGCTTGTGGATTCACCTCGATCTGAGATGCTCGGCGGATGGCCGACTTGGTCATGTGCTGAACACGCTCCATGGAGACAGCGGAGTGGTTAGATTTTGATCGGTTGGATTAAGAGAGGGGAGAAGTGAGTCAGACTGCTGGGCTTGTTTAGACTGAGAGGAGCTGGACTGGGCTGGTCAGGCTGGTTTTAAGGAGGTGAAGTCAGGGAGTCTAACTGCTGCTGGTTGTCTGGAGGTCAGCTCAGGTCAGGTGTCTTAGGCAGCCTGGCCTGAAGAGGACTGGTTCCTGGTTACAGAACAAAAACTCTTCTCTTCTCTTCTCTTCTCTTCTCTTCTCTTCTCTTCTCTTCTCTTCTCTTCTCTTCTCTTCTCTTCTCTTCTCTTCTCTTCTCTTCTCTTCTCTCTTCACAAAAGGAGAGGGAAAAGAAAAACAGTGACAGTAAGACAAGGTTGTGAAAGACATAGTTCACTGTTTGGTCCAGTCTCACTTTGTACATCAGCACCCTCCTGTGGGTGATGTCTCATGTGTGACCTTTCTGTATGGCAGTACACGGTGTGATGATGATTACAGAGCTGCTCAGAGGCGTCAGCTGAGGCCTGATGATGTGTGAAACCAGCCTCTAGTCTAATGGCAGCAACATAGATGTCATAACAACGACAATGTTTCCACACAGAGAAAAGGATTACTTGAAAAACATTAAGTGAGAAATGACATTTGTGAGTTTTGTTGAAAATTATGCTTAATTATAAGTATTTTCAACCAGCATAGTTCATTTATACCTGAGAAAAGGGTTTAAAACGTTGAAGTTTTCCTATAAACTTATAAGTAATATCCTGTTAAATATTTTTCTCACGCATTTGTTCTTGTATATTCAATTTCCAACTTGCAATTACACCGCCTACAAACTATTTGTCTGGAGGGCCTCACTCTCACTAGAGCACCACGCACAGTATTCTGACATAATGAGAAATCTGAAGCTTCACAGGCTTGTCGTGCCTTGCAGCAGACAGTCAATTAAAGTGAGCCTATGTGCTGAACAGCGGCCGCTGTGGCCACATGTGGTAATTTTGAGATGATGATTAATTACAAGTACAGTCATTAAGTTAGTGGACAGACTCAGTAATGTAAATACAGCAGTATTTACAGGAGTTTGTTACAACTAATGTGGACATACCAGATAAAGTCGGGCTGCAGCATTTTTGCGATAAGGAATGAGTTGTTTCTTCTTCCATAGTTTCACTGCAGTCATTTTTCCTCTCATTATTGCCTCATGCACTCTAATATCTATGTTAAATTATGGTTGTAATCTCTCAACATCAAGTGAAAACAGGTGTGAGCTGAGGAAGAAGCTAGAAAAAAAAAGTCTGTGAGGAGAAATAATAAATGAGCTTCACAGTGCAGCTGCAGGCTCTCTCCTCTCTGCTAAATCCCTTTTGTCATCTGATCTGGGACTTTCCTGAGATCAAAGTCATTGTGACAAGGTGACCGCGCTTTTGCATTAGTAGCTCCCTCAAACAGTGAACATCTTAGGACTTAAACATCAGCTCTGTCTAGTTCTTCTTTATTTTTAACAAGATTAAAAGTCCTGCTAGCGTCCCCTCTTGGGTGAGTTGCTCATGACAGTCAGTGATACAAAAGAAGACAACAGCACTGAATTCCTAGAGCGGTGTTGTAAGTCATGTCTGCTGTTGGGGTGCTAATCCATGCATTAGATTTCCTGTTTTAAAGAAAATATCTATTTCATACTGTTGTTTACACTTTCACCGAACCCAGGATGCTATTTAAAACTGTACTTTCTAAAAGTTTGTATCTCCCACTTTTCTTTGTTATATCTTGTTTCTTTGCTGCAGTGTGGGATCAGTATAGATAACAGGAGACATTTTAGCCATTTGACGCCTTCTGCAGACTTTTCAACACATCTATTTTTATCATTTGACTTTTGTTTCACCCTTGGTTTGCCTCTGAGTCACCTGTTATCACTTGACATATTAACACCTTTGTACTCACATACAGACCGACACACTCACTTAATCATACCCCATTGGAAAACTCCATTACCCTAACCTCTGAGCTGACTGAAATAGTGAAATAGTGTCTCATCTTAAATCACCTGTGTTTAGAGGCTTAGCTGGTAAAGCAGAAAAGTTGACAAAATTGGTTGGAGACTGGGAGATGGTGAGATGATATGTACAAGTAGCTTGACTGTAATACAGTTGAAGCTTCCCCACTCAAATGGCAAAAATAATGATTTCCCCAGTGTCATATAAGAGGAGGCTTTGATTTCTGAGCCTTCCCCTGACAACAGCTCATACAGGATCCAAAATAATAAATATCCATAATCCCTTGCATTTTGTGAGGCCCCTGTGCAGCTCTCGGCTCCTGAATCATTCAACACAACAGGTCAAAAGCCCTCCACTTAATCTTATCTTTCCCTCTTCCTTCCTTTACTTCTCACATTTAGGAAGGTAAATGAGGGTTTTCAATCATGCGAGTAGTTTGACCTTTGACACTTCGGGTTAAATTGGGACCTGTCTGTGGGCCTCTACAGTCGTGTGACTGACAGCATGTGAGTTACTGGTGCTCCACATTATCCTTTACTCGTCTGTACACATCAGCCACGTCATTATGTGCTGAGTGCTGACTGTCAGTCATTTCATGCTAGAAGACAAGCTGTCATTCTCTGTGACAAGTGTGCAAGAAATCCTCATTTCCACAGTAGAAAAATGAGTGAAAAAATTAAATGTTGACAGTAAATGAACCCAGGCTTTCTTCTGCTGAATGACATTTTGGAGCCTGTGAGTCTGTGGCACACATAGCACACATATCTCCTGCCAAATTTAACCCCTGCCCCGACAAAAAGGATCAACTTTTCTTATTTTTCAACAAGCTGTTTCCTTGTCATCGCTTGGTACTTTCCTCTTCTGTCTGTCTGTACCTCTCACCTCTCAAAGGCCCACACAGACACAGCTGTTGCTTTGTCAGACGCACGCAGTGATGGGTTGATCTATGTCATGTAATTTACATAAAAGCAAGCAACTGGACAGGAGTCGGGCAGGCTCAGAGCTCACTGTGCCACCTCACTGGCAGCTTTGAATTTCAGTTACACAGTAATTGTGCTCGCAAAGGCCACACCCTAGCTGAATGCAAATCATACGGCAGTATCACAGCATAGATCCCAGGACCCCCAAAGAGCTGCTGATTAAATCGGAAGGATTATTAACAAGGTTGAAGAAAAAGCACATCTCTGCTGCACATTTTCCCCTGACTTTTCTCAAGGCTTTACTTTTTTTTTCTTGTGAATTACATGAGTTTTAGCCCTGGAGACTTCTGAACATGCCATTGTGTGGCTTCAGATGTTCACAAGCCAGTAACTAAATTGCCTTAAGGGCAGTTTGGAGAATTATTGACCCATTAAGGAGATATTAAGGATGTTTAATCAACAACTATCTCAGCCTGTGACTGCCAGCCCATGATTTCTGCTTGCCCATCCCTTTCGCAGCCCTCTTGTTTACCCCCTTTTGTTGTTGTTGTTTTCCCTCACTTCTGGATCAATTTGTGTTTTTGTCGATATCACAGTTCTCCACTGTAGTTTCTGTGAAATTGATGAGTTTTTTTTCGTACAAAGGGAATTTATTTGTTTTAATCGCATTATTCTTTTTCATTTGAAAAGAGCAGACATCTAATTATAAATGTATTAACACTATAGATGGTGCATTAGTAGAGTAGATGGTACAGCACATTCCCTTGTTATTTTAATAATACTTTTTTGTTCATTTCACTATTTTCTTATGTTCAGAATTCGTTCAAAACTCACTGTTACTGTTCCTGTTTCACTGTGTGAGGCACTAAGCCTGTGTGTAAATCAACTTTTACTTTTAGATGCTAATTACTTCTACTTCTATACACAATCAGCTGTTGTCAGCTGTTGTTGCCCCGAGCTAAATCTCTCCAGTGTGACAAACGGAGGGAGTGTGACATGTTGATGTTCAGTTTGATATAAAAGTTACATAATGTTTCATCTTAGAGGCAGAGACTGAAATATTTCCAACAAAACAACTGTGTTACATTTGGTGAACTGAGTGTGTGTGTGTGTGTGTGTGTGTGTGTGTGTGTGTGTGTGTGTGTGTGTGTGTGTGTGTGTGTGTGTGTGTGTGTGTACTCTGAAGACTTTTAGATGCCTGTCATTCCATGGGTGTGAGTTTTATCAGCGTGTGTCAGCACCAGTAGCTGTCGTCTTGAGTAGCAAATGAGGCTACACACAGATGTACAGGTACACACACACACACACACACACACACACACTAACACACACTAACTCACACATACATGTATATACTCACACAGAGATTTTTACCCACTTGTGGCTCTTCTTGTTTCTACTATGGTCTATTAAAAACTGAGGTGGTCTTTGACACTATGAGCATTTTATTAGTTTCCTCTAATCCCTCTGTTGTTATCATTTGATTAAAATCAATACATTTTTTAACGAAGTAGCTACAGTAGCTTTTGCAGCTCGTGGAACAACCTCTTAGAAAATGATTGACAGTAAAAAGGGAGAGCATGACAGCTACCGAGTTGTAAAATATAGGTTTGACAGATACACGGGTTTGCTGATGCTGACCTATTAGTCTAACTGGGCCACGATTTGTGTCACCCACACATTGATAACAGCTGTTGGGTGCCAGTACATTGCACACAAATTAAAAGTTGTCTTTTAAATTGGTTAGACTTCATACCAAACTATTGGAAACTCTACAGATGATCATTGCTTTCATCGAAAAAAGATATTGTGTGTAACTTGCTGCAGAAAATGTATGACTGATAAATATCAGTCATGCCAGAATGATAACCCTAACTATAACCACCGGTTTCTCAAGTTTAGCTTCCCTTACAGCCAGTTTGATCAATTTTATCATTACTTCTATGATGCGTGCCATCAGTTATATCAGAGATGGAAGACACTGACTGGACCAGACTGATTTCTGACTGAAATCCATGTTTAGATTGAGTCGATTTGGCTCCTCAGCGCTCTAAAATAAAATCATGTGCCTTGGATGGGAATGTAAGAAGTGCAGATGAGTGTTTATCCCTCTGGGAGGTTCAGTTCTGTTTCCATTCCCTCCTGCCCCCCTCTTCAGAGCTGTGTTTACCCTATGTGAACAATGACTTTTTTTATATGAAGCAGTGATTCACAGAGTTCTACGCTGTATCTTTACATAAAACATAGCCTCCTCTGACCCTCACAGTTTGAGAAATGATGCCTCAGTAACTGAACCTTCTGCAGATTCAGTTACTCTGCAGAGAACATTTAACCATGAGTTACTACAAACAAGTAAAGTAACTGACTGACTAACGTGAACGTTTGGAAGTCTCCATTAGAGAGCAGTTTCACGATCTTTAATGCATTTTAATGGCTGCTGTAGTTTTATGATTCATTCTAAGCATTATTATCACAAACACATCATCTGTTGTCATGATTATCTCCACATCTACTGTCTACATCTAAAAATGAAAGTAGATGGAAAGAACGCAGGATGCTGCCTCTTACCTCTCAGATGAGAACAGAGCTGGTTGGAGTTTGAGAGAGAAATGTCAGATATGCAACTCTCTCCAAGGCTGTAAACACAATGAGAGAGAGAGGGAGAGAGAGAGGGAGGGAGAGAGAAAGAGAGAGGCAGGACATCCTAGAAAAAGATTTTAGTGGGGATACCAAGGTCGTACTGTAGTGAATTATACATGCAGCAGCCAGTATCTACCAGGGCAGTTCAGTATAGTTCAGGAATTTGGGTTTGAATGCTCAAAGCTGAAAGTGATAAAAATAACGTTAAACTTTAGTCCCAGGACTGATACAAGGTCTGAATGCACTTAGAATAATATGTAAATATAATATTTACCATTAGACATTATGTGTCTGTATTAAATAACATTAATGAATTTACTTAATAACACAAATCCTAAAAAAAAGCCAGTATGGCAACATATTATAGTTGTTTATGAAATAGCTCTGTCTTCACCAGCCTTTAACAAAAACCACTGAGTTTGTTCAAATAAATTTATCATAGAATACAGATAAACCACAGGAACACCTTTAATTTTTTTAAAGACCAATGAAAGAAACTCTAAATAAGATATTGAGTTACTGAAGCTAAGCTAAGCAGGAGGATCTTTATTTAAAAAAAAGAAAAGAAACAGCTTTTCAAATTAAGAGCAAAAAGTCTTGAGCATCAAATCCATCAAAACCGGTGCTCAACCACTTCTTCTGTGCTGTGGGTGAGCACCATGAGCATACATGACGAATAAGCTGGGAAGGGCCAATGCATCATCAGAGCGAGGCACTTTGGCCAACAGTCAAACATCATGGCTGGAGTACGCTATTGTCTTCATTGTCCTGGCAGGCCAATAGACACCTGGCACAAGTGCGGTGCCTATGAACAGCTGATGGCACCTCTAAATATACAGTTTGGCCATGACCACACCAATGAAGAGCCTGGAAATTGATCCTTTGGGATCCGGATATTGTTGAAGCAGCAATGACAAAATAATTTCCGAGATAGTCTAGTTATCTAAATTTGTTTTTCATGTAACAACACGCAGAAGTCTCTTTTATTTTTGCTGTTTGATTCTGCCTTGTTGGTGAGTTTGTCTGCTTATCACATCTACTCATTTTTAATATATTTCAAAATGCTTACCAGATATTACCAACTGATCATTATGAATATATGTTAAAACATACTTTGGGGATAAACAACTGATCCAGGGTCTTTGGAAAAGTATGTGTGTGTGTGTTTGGATGTGTGTGAAGTCCTGGACAGCCTCTTTCACTTGGGAGAAATCAAAGGAGACAAGGGGTTCAAAAAAAGTCAGGAAAAAGTAAAAATAACCCCCCTACTGTGGCCCAGAAAGCATTGCATCTGCCTTATAAGGAGAATCTGCATGTAAACAGGCTGTCAGTCACGTACTGGGCAGTCTGCTTTGTTGTTATTGCTACTCACTGCTCTACTGTGGATACACACTTCATGGACTACATGGACAGGCAGATATTTCTACCACCCTCTTTTATGACAACTGTATTTTTTCAAGGATGAGATGATTGTCCCTTTGGGAAGCTGAGTTGCTCAAGTAGGAGATAAAATGTATAAAGGAAATAGACAATTCAACTGTTCCATGAACATATGAAGTGTGAGAAAACAGTAACATTTTAAAACAGTAAAATTGAGTCATTAGCAGAATAAAGTAAGATGTCAAATTTAATGAGACAAGAAAAAAATATTAATCTGTGCGCAATACAAAAATGAAAGATCAATTAGAAATCTTCAAAACTGAATAAAATAGACAAATGGATTTCAATGTCATTATCACCAATTTCTGTATCAATACCTTTAACTATCTCCTGGAAAATGGAGCACAAGGTCATGTTTTCTATTTATAGGGATAGCAGCGAGATGAAGCTTGTCTTTTTAAGTCTTAGTATGAGTTTGAGCTAAAAGTTGCTCTAAAAGGCTCATCTAAGTCTTTCTATTGGCACACAGACCTAGCTCTGGCATTTATAAGATAAAATTCCCCAGAGGGTTAAAGGTGGTCTTTTCAAAACTAAGCATTGATATAATGCCATAAGACATGCAGTACAATATCAAGAAATGTTACGGTTTAAAAAAAGACTGTTTGAAAGGTCATCTGTCTCCAAAGGGATGGAGGTTTTTGGAAAGACATCTCACAGGGTTCCTTTGTTTGCTCTTTAGCCATGTTAGTGGTGAGGCTCTATGGCTGGCACTGTTGGTCAGTTGGTCCACCACACAGGTTCAGACTAAAATATCTCAGCAGCTATTTAATGGGAGGAATGAGACATTCATGGTCACCAGAGGATGACGCTTTGACTTTGGTGGTAGCCTGACATTTCCTCACACATCATCATGACGTTGATTTTTCTCATTCATGATCCCAAGTCCCAAAAAATCATAATGGATATATAAATTGTTAGACTAGTTCCCAGTGCAATAAAATATATGATATTTCATATTCATTATAATGATATAATATTTTACTGTAGGAGACAGAGTTGTTATTTTGGGGGCAAAGTATATGTATACATGTACTGAAAAAGATGTTTTCGTATTGATTAAAAGTGCAATTAGACCATACATAGTTAAATACACATTCCATATTGGAAATCTGAAAATTAAAAGCAATAATTGCCTAATTACCATTTTGTAAGAGGTACAGTTTAAAGGTGTAGTCACACCAGCACTTAGAAGAAAGAAATTTGAACATTGGTAAACTTAAAAATAAAATAAAGGAAGCTATTGTAGCTTATCAACTGTGATGCACCTTTCAGTTTAATTTAACCTCCTCTGCCAAAGTGACTGCTCGACCAAGGGGGAACTGTTTGGCCCAGGACTGACAGGATAAATCTGGAAAGTGAAAGTCATTACCACCACTGTGGTTCCCTCAGGCAAGCTCTTCAAACCTGTTAGGAGCTGTCCAGTGGCCATCAGATCAGACTGTAGCTGAACAGGGCAGCATCCAGGTGTGAAAGTGTGAACAAACTGAGAGAGTGGAACTTCCCCTGTAATGTTAGAAAAAAGAATTGTGTTGGCTGTATGATTATCCCTGTCTATTATTTAAAATCTCTCAAGTGGTAATAGATATGTCTGATGGCCTATATTTGTCTCAGCGATCCATTTTTATCATCATCACCTTCTTATTCATCCCCATGAACCCTGCTTTTATTTCCACCCGAAGAATAATTATAAAAAATGTTCCACCAAGAAACTAGTTTCCTTTTTTTTTTTCTCACAGGAACAGTTGAGCTCTGCAGCCTTACATGGTGAAATGCCAGACTGCTCTGACCTAAGACTAGAAAGAGAGGAAGATACAGAGGGAGAGAAACAACTTGACTGATACAGAAAACCACAGCAGGCCAGAGAAAACAGACGACGCTTCTGCTGCCAGTCAGAACAGCGAGGGATGTGTTCTCTACTGACCAGAGATGTAAGTAAAGAGCACGTACTTGAAAAGCAAAACCTGTTCAGACTCCAGAGGATCCCTCTCCTTGAGCTTTTTCCTGCTCTGCCACACTTTGGCCAAAATGTCAACTTTACACACAATAAATGTCATAATCTTAAAATTCTTGAGCACATTCGTGCTCGCACAGGACATTTCAGTTTTAATGTCAACGTGACTTGTGAGCGCCACCCTCAGGACAAACTTGATATTTTCAACCTTTATTTGTCGGAAATAGATGCTTCCAAAGGGACACTAGTTGGGTTTTTACAATGCTCCTTACAATGCATTCGCATGCACAAGATAGCGACACTCTCCCTTTCTTCAGAGCACTGGTCTGCACATCCTCAGGAAGCTAAGCTAAGCTAATTGCCACCTAGCTATAGTTTCTTAGCTACTTCAAAATAGACAGCTAGATAGAGGTGAGTTTATACTAGAGTGGGTTGCTGTGTAGGCAAATGTGTTAACAGTCCACACAATCATAAATATCGGGTGGCACGTTGATGTCCACACGCTGAATCTCCTAGCTATGCAGACACAGGAAGAATAATTTGAGCTTTAGTCTTTCGGCACATGAAAAGTGAAAACTTGACATTATGAATGTATAATAACTCTGCAATAGATTGTAAACAAACCAGAAATATTTAGTTGTACATGTCAGTCTTTATTTAACAGAAGGAAGTGTTAAGGAAGTATTCACTGACAAAGGCCCTGTCCTAAGCCACCTCCTTCTCTTCATTTCATCCTGCAGCTGTAATATTGTTTATTAATTTATTGCATTGCAACTGGGATTACTGGCATTCATAATGCTTTTAAAACCCTGTTTGTCATTTTTGATGTAACATTGTAGATAGATAGATAGATAGAGAAGAGACATAGAGAGGGAGAGAGAGAGGGCATTTTAGGGGTGAAGAGGGATGTGGGGTGGGTTTACCCCATCAGCTGTGTTTACTCTGGAAGACTTTCTGCTTCTGTTGGCAGCTTCACACACATTCTATCTCTCTCTCTCTGTCTCTCTCTCTCTCTCTTCCTCTCTCTCTCTCTCTCTCTCTCTCTCTTTCTCTTTCTCCCTCTCTGTTCTCCAGATATAGCCAGCTATGTGGAGAAGCCTTCAACTAGCTTTTTTCCCAGAGGCCTCTGTCTAAGAGCAGGCTTTATCTGATATGAGCTTTTGAAGCCCAGTACCAACCCGACATGACAATTCTCCTCTGAATCCCACTGTAATGACATTAAAGTGTTTGTGAATTGAATTTTGTAAAGATTGAATTTTGAAAAAAACTAATTTAGAAACTCGGGTTCCTTCTGGCAGCGCTGAACAGGTTTATTGATCATTTAGGGACATAATGCTTTACAGGTAGTGCATATATTTATATACATATATATATGTTACAGTATATAATTTTTAATCGGGATAACCCAGATGACCTAAAATCTTAAAATGACATACCTAGCTCAGGTTTTAGCTCTGTTAAAACACATCATTAATCCATCACTGAGCAGGGTTGTGCAAACATCCCCTAATGTTGCTCACACAGCGTTGACTGCATCAGTATGCACACTAATGCACTGAACCTAATGTGATTACAAGAACTCTGCAAACGAAACACAAACCACACATACCTTAATCTGATGATCTAATT